TTTTTATAGTTCGTTTTTTTTCTATAATACTTGTCAATGTAAATTTTTTAGGGTTTCTGTTGGTATTATCTAGGACCCTTATAAAATTTATGTTGTTTTCCTGATTTTTTTAGTAACATTTTCAGTAACTAAATAGTTGAGGTTAAAATACTAATAAATTTTTAGATAAATACGATTTTAACGAAGTACATATTTGTTGTAAAAACGTGCTACAAAGTAATTAAATAGAACAAAACACCTTTTCTAGGTAAATAAATGGCAAATAAACACCCCATAACATTTTTTATGCACTTTTTCTTTTTGCATAACGAAAGCTCAAACGTCAGTGTGACATATTTATTTCAAAAACATCATATAACAAAACTCCCTGTTAATTTTGCCAACTTTACAACAATTTGACAGGTATTATAGAAAAAAAATGAACTATATGTATTTAAAGTCATGTTGCTATGGTGATAACCATACATACTATGATGGCACATAATGTATCAAATAATTGCTTAAGTTTGTATTTAAAAGTTCGATAACAACTCTGGCATTATGTGCTGGTACGAAGCACCAACATGTTAAGTGTCAAAGTATAACAAAACTGAATAAAACTTTACAATGAATTTCGAAAATTATGAAAAATGTAACATGATGGAATGCTATATGTTATCAGATAAGAATGCGACGTTAGCCGCGGAATTTTATTTCACAAGATATCCTGAAAGAAGGCAACCGCACGTAAGAACCTTCAGTCGGTTAGCAGAAAATTTAATAGATATTTGGTCCTTCCCCAAACCACATGCAATAACATATCAAAATGACCTGCAAGAGAAATTGCAACAAGACGTCTGACCCAACAGCCGCTGCTCCTAAATATGAAAGAAAAATAAGTATAAACCATACAAAGTGAGGCTAACTCATTATTTACGTGCCGGAGATTAGAATTTTGTAGACGATATTTAGAAAAATTAAATAATCTGCTGTTTGTTCAAAATGTTATCTGGACCGATGAAGTCTCTGAGTGTTCAAAGAAGATTGGGGTTCAATGTATGGTGTGCCCTTTTAGATAATAGAATTTTGGCATATAGTATCTACCATAAAAACTTAAGCTCAAGGAAATACCTCAATATATTAAGGCAGCACATTGAGCCTTTGGTTGACAATTTGCCACTAAATATGTCTCAAATGATATATTTTCAATATGACGGAGCACCAGCACATAATGCCAGAGTTGTTAGTGAATTTTTAAATACTGCTACAAACTTTGGCAATAAGTGGAAACAATGTCTTCCATCATGGTATGGTTATCACCATAACAACAGTTAAGTTTTAAATACATGCAATAGATTCAGAAAGAACAAAAAAAATTGATACATTATGTTCCATCATAGTATGTATGTATGGTTATCACCATAGCAACATTAATTTTTAAATACATACATTAGTTTTAGGTAGAACAAAATGAATTTTTGTTAATTATTCAATAACTATAAGAAATATACCCCACAAACTATATACAGTGTGTCCCCGGATAGGTGAAACGACTCTTATAAAATGTAATTTTTTTTCGATATTAATTGTCATCTTTTGGGGTTCAGCCCTGCTTGGTTAAAGACTAATTTTGAACATATTTTCAAATTTTAAAAGACAAATGTCTGTTGACACTGAAGCGAAAACTTCTTGTGCATTAGGTAAAGTGCCTTTTCTCTTTACAGTATGGTAAAATGTTACTAAGAAATTTTATTCAGAATAAAAAGTTAGGGCCATATGCAAATTTTCGGAATCATCGGCCTACTTTGATAAAACCCATTTTTGGTTATTTTCGTCAATAGTAAAACAAAAAAATAGTAAACTTTTGATTAGACGCCAACAAGTTTTTAATTCCAATATTTGGAAATTTTTCACTAAATAACGCAATAGCCATATTTATCGGTTTTTCCCCGATTCCATAACACTGAATCACATAAACTTTTTCCTCTAATGTTAACATTCTACTAAAAAAACACTTTAAATTTACTAAATTACAGTTTGACAGATTACTAGTGACAGGAAAGCAATTTTGTTTTATACATGGCAGTCTTTGTTAGAAATAAAATTGTTTGATATGGATATTTTCAAAGTAGGCCGATCAATCCGAAAATTTGCATATGGCCATAGTTTTTCATTCTGAACAAAACTTCTTAGTAACACTTTCACGTACTGTAAACAGAAAAGATACTTTACCTGCCACAAAAAGAGTTTTTCTTTCACTGTCAAGGCTCACTTGTTTTTTAAAAATTAAAAATATGTTCAAAATTAGTCGTTAATCAAGCAGGGCTAAACCTCAAAAAATAAGAATTAATATCGAAAAAAATTTACCTTTTATAAGAGTCGTTTCACCTATCCGGGGACACACTGTATATTTGTTATCAGAAGAAAATAACAAATTATTTTAAGTCATAGCCAATTATGGTTTCCATTTAAAAAAATAAAGTTATGCTTAAAATCTCGAAAATAGAAGATGGGATAAAAATTCTACCTATTCGTAAAAAGTTGCCCACATAATGTTTTATTTATAATACTCCATCTTTGATAATAAGTGAGATATTCGCGATTGTCGTTTTTGCAAAATTTTCAGTTTTTGCCGATAGGGCGAAAACAAAAGACGATAGCTGTTCGGAGTTTTCGGTATTAGCATTTTCTCGAAAAACGAGATCATGACATGTAAGCTACTTTTTTTCTATCTCTTTTAGTTTCGGAGATAGCCTATGCGGACATCGAAATTGGGACACCCTATACAATACAATGGATAAAAAATGAAACAAAAAGTGGATACAGAAATCTTAGAATTTGCTGTGAGGCGTGTTACCAAAATCAATTTTTTAGGCAGAAAAACATTCCGCAAATGTTTTCTGTCAATGGATTCTCATTCTAGACAGTATAAAGAACACTTTTAAGCAAAAAATTCAAAAATCATTTCAAAGGTGGCATACCCCGTTAACTAAACAAGACTTGCGTATTAAGTCCTGATTAAGCCGAGATTAGTTGCTGATAAGGCACAGTAATGAGTTTTAATGATTAAAATTATTATATTTTAAGTTTATATAATCGATAGAGAACAAAGAAAAAAATTTGAAAAGATTCAAAGAAAAAAAGGCTGAAAATAGAGGCAATAAGGGATTTGAAAAGACGTAGAAGGACGCCCACTATATTATTTAGCAGAAAGGCCGTGTCGCCCCCGCGAACTCGTTTTGTATCCTTGTCCCGGTGAAAGCGTCCCTCAACCCGCAATATAGTACATACAGAGAAACGGTGCATTTCAAAACGTCCATTTCCGTTCGAATAGAAAACGCGGCCGCGTATCAAATTGACAGAATTGAGTTTAAACCTTACCCGCACTCCCCACGCAATGACATCGTTTATAGAAACCCAATTCCATGTGTTCGCTTCGTTATCGATATTATGCGTATGACCTGCACACGGTTTTGTTATGTAACTGAGTAAATGATAGTTTTAAAGAAATGAAAGATAATATATTTAATATATTATGTAATGTATGGGGAAATTCAATATTTTATGGAAAATAAGGCTACAATGTCAGGGATATAAATAGAGATATTATTTCAAAATATAATTGAAATTGTGTTAAACTTTTTACTGTGCACAATTTATCCAAATTAATGATTAAGATATCACTTAAATCATCAAATATTCATTAATATGCTTGTTAATGCTAAATCACCCAGGATATGCGTTTTTAAAAATTTATAATTATAAATAAATTAGTAAGAATAAACAGAAAAAATCAATTTTTTTATATAAATAAATTAAGACTAAAATTTTATCTTAACTTTATGTGTTTTCTATTTTTATAATTCAAGGTCTGGTGATATATCTTCCTTACAAGTAGACGCAATAGTAAACTCGACTAATGAATCTATGACTGACAGCAACCCAATTAGCGATAGAATATTTGAAAGAGCGGGACCTGGATTAAAAGAAGAAATAAGTTTGGATATTAGAGGTAAAAAAAAAACTATTTACATTCCTATTTTTTTCTTACTTTATGTATTATCCTAATTTTTTTTTAGAGTGTGGTACCGGAGAAGTTAGAGTAACTCAAGGTTACGAATTACCGGCCCGTTACATAGTACACACCGTGGGGCCGAAATACAACATCAAGTGCCAGACTGCCGCCGAAAATACTTTACATTCCTGTTATAGGTGAATAAATTATAATTATAAATGATTGATTGAATCATTTATCAGAAAATGATCTGATAAGAAATAATGTTTAAGTCAATTAATATCCGAACTCTGTTAGTTTAACTCCATTTTTTTTTGTAGGAACGTGCTGCAAAAATCCCGCGAACTTGGGATACACTCCATAGCGTTGTGTTCTGTCAATTCTGTAAAAAGAAATTATCCACCTGATGAGGGTAGTCACATAGCTTTACGTAAGCATATTATTTATAAACATTTTTAATTATTAATTTTTAAATTGAGCTAAAAGCGGTTATCTTTAGTTTTTATTGAATATACCGGAGAATTCTGGAATTCAAGTGGTTGTATTGATAACATAAGAAAATTTAGATTACTTTTAATCTATTTGATGTTCTTTTTTGACAGTTAATTAGCGCCATCTGTTAGATTTAAGTATTATTAATCGATTCGTGTAAGTTGGGTTGCATACTTATTTTCAAATTTATATACAATGTATATAAATTAATTAATAATAAAATACAGATGGAAAGTATACAAAAAAATCAATTTTGGCATCTAGTCATTCATTTCACTCTGAACTTAAACTAGTATAAAAGTAACTGTGGCATTTCTTTATAGCGTTGGTTTTCACTAAATACATCAGATCCTCATATTTTTTTTTAGCAATAGGTAGAGGATTACTGTAAACTTTTTTCATTTCAAAACCTGAAAAAGTGGAGAGAGGCGTCCTTGAACGTCTTCCACTAATTAATTTGACTTCTTTAAAATCTGGGCACTTAAAAGATGTCTTATAAAAAAACGAGTCTAAGTGACTTTTCTCAACCCTAATTACTGAGGCGTCAGCCATTTTGAAAGTCTCTCCGTCTGTGTTTTTTTGAAAATTTACAGTGGTTTGTTCAGTTAAGTGCTTTAAGTCAAAAAAGTCTTCATGCGACAGCTCTATAACGTTATAAGGTTTGCCAGTTTTTTTTGAGGTTTGTATTATAGCTGCATACTGAGATGGCGTATAAATGGGACCTGATTTTAAAGCCCTTTTGACGTTTCTTTCTATTAAAGAATGGACGTTGTCGCCCTCATTCTGCGTATGCCCAGTAATAAGGTATTTATGATTAATTGCTTTGATTGTATAATTAGCTACGACATACAAATAAGCTGCAATGATGAATTTGTTTTTTTGTTGGCCTGTACAATTATCAGAATAGAATACTATTTCAAGATTGTCATTATTACAGACAGCAGCTTTTTCTTTTAAGTAGTGCAATAAACATGTTCCTATTTCAATTGCTCCTCTCTTCCCTTGTCCCTCATGCCACAAGTAACAGTTTACAGATCCTTGTCCTTTTTGAGTAAGATCTGCCACCGTAAAATTGTAAGTTGACAATTTGGATCTGTAATAAAACGATGAGACTTGCCCGTTAGGAGTTGGTAGAGTAGCCTGCAAATCGAAACAAGCAACTTGATACAAGGAAGAACTTCTCTCTTTGTCTGTTTTCTTTTCTTCCCTGCTCAATTGTTTTTCTTCAATGTGAGAGTTATGTTTGTCTTCTAACTTTTTCTTCTCTTCTTCACTAGAATTTTCAAAAGTGACACAAGCTTGGCAGTGATCTTTTTTTGGCACGAAGAAGGCTATATTAAACTTGTGATTAAATTTCCCTGGTTTTCGCATTCAGTTTTATAATCACGATGTAACTGAGCAATGGTCTTACTTCCTTCGATATACAGTTTTTCAGAATGCTTTCTTGTATAATGACTCTCGATGGTAGGAATAGAGGAGATGTGAGCCCGAACACCTTCTTTTATACTCTTGTCAACTTCTTTATGGTTAGAATGTTTTCCTCTGTTATCTTCGCTCAAAGTACAATTTTTAATTTTATTGTTCGGATGCAGCGCGCCGTAATACCCAGGGTTGCTATGAAAAATGTTTTACAGACTCTCAATTTCTTACCATCTTTTATGAAAAAAAAGCATGATTTGCAGCCCTGCTTTCGGTATTGCGTGGATACTTGTATGTAGGGTTAACTTCTTGCATAAGTGATAGAATGTAAGTACGTTGTTTTACAATATCACCCATGTCCCAATAGTTTTGAAACAAAAACAACCTTTCTTCTTCAGTAAATTTGGTGCTGCATTTCTGTTTGCACTTAGAATCATCACATGGTGGTTTTATTTGTCGTCCTGCAACTTCTAATCCTTTTCCCAACGTTTTGTACGATTTGCCAGAGTTTCTCAAACGTTTAGCACGGAACTTTTTCCAGTCTGATGGTTCTGCTTTTCTTTTCCTTGTTCTTTTCTTCTTAACGGCTGTTTTGTCTGATGATTCAACAGTATTAAACAATTTATTATGTAAATCTGAACTTGACGATGAATCCGTGTTATAATTCGGATCTTTAATTGAATCATCTGATGAATAGGGTTCACTGTCAGACGAGTCACTCGATGAAGATGAAGAATCGTCTGAATCGTATTGTTCTTCCTCGTCATCTTGCTTGCTTTTATCTGAAATTTGCGTAGGTTCACTGTTAATAACATTAAAAAATGAAAAAAGCACAGTTTACCACTAAGTCTAAGCAGTTGTTGTTGTGCTCCAGGAGCTACATTTTCTTTAACATCAAGAATGATAATATTTTAATCATTTTGAACATTAACGTAAATATTATCGTTAGCACTTAGAATAGTGGAATATTGTTTATTCCTATCAAACGTGTGACCTAAAATTATATACATTAATGGGTATTTATACGTATAATTGTTAAATCACAATGTACCTGCATTTTCTTTCAAAGCGTGGAAAGATGGTTTATCTTTTGTGTCTATAGTTGATCCACTGTGAAGCACTTGCGTAAACGTTTCTGCAAAAAGATACTCACCAAGTTAATGTTATCCCTATATTTACTATGAAGTCTAAAAAAAATTACCACAGGTTTCAGAAGATGGAATTGCAGTGCCGTCTAACTGGGGGATTGAGACAGCAGTTAAAATAGAAGCTTTCCACTGTTCACTTTGTTGTGGGTCTCGTTGCTTAATAGCAGTATTATTTTTCAGCCTAAAAATTGCATTGCATTTATTCAATATTTTTTTATTAACTTTTCTGGAATTTATTATTTCATACTTTATTCCAATGATTGACAACATCTTCTCTCCTCTCCCACCTTTTGTGCCAAGAGTGCTATCCATTTTCTATAGTTTATTACCATTTATCATAAACCACAAAACGACGCACAATGGTCTATACCGGCACAGCTAAGGAAACGACTTTAAATCTTCAGGCAATATCGTCATAAGTCAAAATAATCATCACAGTGTATCACCTATATTGGCACATTTAATGAAAGTGGCCAACAACACAAAGTCTAGAGTGGCATAAAGCAAAATGTGCCACTAATGCATACTCAAATCGATGCTACTTCTTCAGATGTGTCACTATTGCTTACACAAAACAGGACTTTACCTCGAAATGCAACGACATACTAAAAATATGCGACTATTGAAGTAACAGGGTTGGTGGAACACATGAAATGCATGAATGACACATTGTGCCATCTAGTAGGGACTATTCGAACTAATATTACACCAGTGTTGATGGATGAAACTGCATCAAATTTTATATTTATACTTGTGTTTAAAGCCATTTTGTATTTTTTTGAGATGTGCCACTATTGTCGCCGGTGAGCGACATGTGTCTCGGAAATGCGTGTACAATAGAAAACCACAGATTCCTGGGCTCAAAATAGGTTAATTACTTAAAGTTAAGTTATCTATATTCAAAGTTGCTTCGTTTCGCCGCTAGATGACTTCAAAGTTAGCAGAAAAATTCTTTTATTTTTTATAACTCGAAAACGCGTAAATCAATTGATATCATTTTTCAGAAGTGAGTTCCTAGGTTCAATTTACGTCTTTTTATGGTTTTTGATACAATTTTAGAAACACAGGAATGATGTACACCAGTTATTTTTAATAGCCCATTTAGTTCTGAACCGTTTTTGTCTCTTATAAGATTTTGATTACATAAGTGGTTAAGCCAGAAAAGAGGTATTTTTAAATATCTGCAAGCCTTGTTTACGTGATTACAATTACAAAAAAATATTTCCAAATATTTGGTGATTTGGCACTCCACGATTAGGAAACTCAAACGCTTTTGCTACCATTAAATTGACATTAGTCATAAACTAAAATCATATCTACTTGTTCATCATATGTGTAAGTATCCATTATAAAAATAACGTTAAACACGATTTATTAATGTTAACTGACAGTGAAATGCAAAGCGTACTAGAGTTATGTTTTATCATTGCAATAACAATAACACATGCATTATCCTTTTGTTTCTTAGAATTGATTAAAAGTTGTTCTTTCTAGTACTGAAATAACTAAATACGACTACGTTTTTTCCTAACACTGTATGCTTTGAGGATCATTGAATTCTCACGCTTTTGATCAATTAATGATATTGTATTCACGTTAAACATAAATCGCAATTAGTTGAAATCAGTGCCAACTACGATGAGGTAAAAAGGCCTGCAGATATTTAAAAATACCTTTTTTCTGGATTAACCACTTATGTAATTAAAATCTTATAAGAGACAAAAACGGTTTAGAACTAAATGGGCTATTCAGAAATTATAATAATGTAATCGTCGCCTGGTCAGAAAAAAAATATGGAGTAATATCCAATGAAATTTTCCATCATTCCTGTATTTCTAAAATTGTATCGAAAATCATAAAAACACGTCAATTGAATCTAATAACTCACTTCTGAAAAATGGTTTCAATTGATTTACGCGTTTTCGAGTTATAAAAAATAAAAGATTTTTTTTTGCTAACTTTGAAGTCTTCTACCGGCGAAACGAAGCAACTTTGGATATAGATAAGGAATCTAGATAGAGCCAAGGAATCTGTGGTCTTCCGTTGTAGACGCATTTTGGAGACACCTGTATAATATACAGATGTCCCAGTATAGATGTTACAATAGGTATAATAACCTAACAATTTTTTAATTTTATTTTAAGGATGGGGAATTAAGCTCTACTTGGTGTGGAAAGAATTTCGGCCTTCACAGTGAAACGAAAACTATTTTTAGTGCAGGTAAAGTAAATTTTTTGCTTATGATACGGCAAAATTTCATAAGAAAAGTAAAGTTGAAGAAAGAAAAGTTGTTCAGAATGAGAAATTATGGCACTGTGCAAAATTTCAGAAAGATCTACCTACGTTCATTAAACTACCATATTTTAGATTAGATCAGAGTGAAGAAAAACAGCAATGAAAAATGCCATGAAAAAAAATGTATTATCCCTCAGTTTTAGTTCACATTTCAATTACTCTTGCATTGTGTTAACGTTAGAACAGAAAATTTACGTCGTACAGTGTTTAGAGAATTTAGGCATGGTATAGAAAATTGTGCAACAAAAGGTTAATGGTATGTTGAATAAACGACAGTTATGTTTACGTTAGATTTTTTATAAATAAATAAAATTATACAATATTTATGTTATTTAAACTAAAATGTGATGGTTCAACCAAAGTAGATAAATCCTTCTGAAATTTTGTATAGGACCATAATTTCNTGGTTTCAACTGATTTACGCGTTTTCGAGTTATAAAAAATAAAAGATTTTTTTTGCTAACTTTAAAGTCTTCTACCGGCGAAACGAAGCAACTTTGGATATAGATAAGGAATCTAGATAGAGCCAAGGAATCTGTGGTCTTCCGTTGTAGACGCATTTTGGAGACACCTGTATAATATAAAGATGTCCCAGGATAGATGTTACAATAGGTATTAATAACCTTAAAATGTTTGAATTTTATTTTAAGGATGGGGAATTAAGCTCTGCTTGGTATGGAAAGAATTTTAAGTAGAAAACTATTTTTAGTGCAGGTAAAGTAAATTTTTTGTTTATGATTCGGCAAAATTTCATAAGAAAAGTAAAGTTGAAGAAAGAAAAGTTGTTCAGAATGAGAAATTATTGCACTGTGCAAAATTTCAGAAAGATCTACCTACGTTAATTAAACCACCATATTTTAGATTAGATCAGAGTGAAGAAAAACAGCAATGAAAAATGCCATGAAAAAAATATATTATCCTTCAGTTTTAGTTCATATTTGAATTACTCTTGCATTGAGTTAACATTAGAACAGAAAATTTACGCCGTACAGTGTTTAGAGAATTTAGGCATGGTATAGAAAATTGTGCAACAAAAGGTTAATGTTCTGTTGAATAAACGACAGTTATGTTTACGTTAGATTTTTTATAATTAAATAAAATTATACAATATTTATGTTATTTAAACTAAAATGTGATGGTTCAACCAAAGTAAATAGATCCTTCTGAAATTTTGTACAGGACCATAGTTTCTCATTTTGAGTTTGAACAACTTTTCTCCATAAAATTTTTCTGTATCATGAACAAAAAGGTTACTTTACCTAAACTACAAATAGTTTTTGATTCACTGTCAATGCCGACTTTGTTTTCAAAACATGAAATTATTCTTAAAATTCTCTCCACACCAAGCAGTCATTATACCTTTTGTAACATCTATCCTGGGACACACTGTATACAGGGTAATTCAAATACGACCCCACCATTGGGATCTCAAAAACCATAAGAGATACAGAAATGGTTAAATGGGGGCAAAGTTGCGTATCTTAGAGCTCATCATTTTTGAACTAAGTTTTTGGATCTAGCCCTTTTAGTTTTTAAAATATGGCCGAAAAATAAAAGTTTGTAAAAGCCATCTTAAATCAGTATTAGTCTACTATTTTAATTGTAATGACATGACACTAATGACAAAGAATAATGTCACTTTCGAAGTATTCTTCATAAGTATTGTTTGTTGGTTTCTATGGAAACCAATTCAATGTTTTTTTTTTTAATGAAATACATTGTCTAACATATCATTGAAATCAGAATTACTTATCCTATTTTTTGATATAAAAATCCAATATAACCGCCATAAGAAAAACAAAAGATGGCGCTAATAACTTGGAAACAAATGAATATCGATAGTTTCTGTTCAGACCAAAAAGCTAGTCTTAAAAAAGTGTCTTAACAATGTAAAACTTTAAAAACAGTTGCATTAGGCGTTATCGACTTATTAGAAAAAATTAAAATCAGCAAATTTCAGCTTTTTCAAAATATCTCAAAAACGAAAACAGTCAGGATTAATTTGAAATATGATTTGTTGCGAGCACTAAATTCTGCGAAACATTCCCCATTTAACCGTTGCTCTATCTCTTATACTATCCGATATACCAATGGTGAGCATCGAAATCTGAACACACTGTTTATATTTTGTTAAATTGATGCGAAAGATTTTAAGGAGTGATTTGTCAGTAAAAATTAAGAGTGGTTTCATATAACTTTTTGCTCAAAACCACTTCCCCACCGAGGTAGAGCCTTCTAAAGTTAGAGGAAAAAATTGTTTTTATTAAATAAATCCACTATGGAAGAATTTAGAAGAATGAAATTTGGCAGATAACTGTTGTTAATAAAATGACACCTTTTGAGGAGTTTTGTAACACTAAAATGTTACTACAAGGGGGTGAAAAAAACAACCTTTATACTACTTTGCATCAGAACTTTTGAATGCGTCTACATTTTTCTATTTAAAAATGTGTTTATATATTTGATTTAAATAGAGGAATTCATTACACATCTTTTTTGCCTCTTAACATTTTCTCTTAAAATCGTTAGTTTGACCATAAAACAATAAAATAATACTGTAACTTGGAGGAGAAGGGGTTATGAACAAAAAGTTATATGAAAGACACCCTTAATTTTTGCTGAAAATCATTCATTGAAATCTTTCGCATTGATTCAAAAAAACCGCTGACAGACTTCTAGAGCAGATAATACATGAAAAATTAAGATAAATAGTCTTAATATACATAGGCTCGCAAATGTCTCCTTAACGAGATATAGCGAGTCAAAGTTTCTTTAAAATTAAACATTATCTGCAATAAAAAGCCGTTTTTTTTTTAAATATTGTCTTCGCCATTGCTAATTTTATCAAACGGGCTGTATTTTCGTCTAAAGTGATCAATTATCTATCAATTGGTCTCTTACAAACCTTTGATCAAAGCAAGAGTTTTTAAGAAAAACACGTTTTTAGAAAATTTGTTAATCCAATCAAAAACTGTTACTTTAATCAAAGTTTTGTAAGTGACCAATTGATAGATTATTGATCACTTTA